CCCTTGATGCCCGCCACAACCTTGGCCACGCGCTCAATCATGCAGGGCTCGTTGCGGCCCTTGACCATGGCGCCCTCCTGCCACTTCTCCTTCTTCACGATCTTCCATCGCTCGGGAATCTCGGGCTCCTTCTTCTGATTCTTCTTTGATTTGGGCTGTGGCTTCGGCACATCAGCTGGCGCGGCCTCGCCGTTTGTCTCCGGCTTCTTCTCCAACAACAGTTTGTAGCCCTCGTGGCTCGGTCTGATCTCGCACCAAGGCCCGTCCGTTTCCAGCATCATCCTGTCCAGGCTGATCTGTTTGACGACCTCACAATTCTCCGCCGTCTTGAAGCTGCAACCATTGATGCCAATGTACAGCCCCAGGTCCATCAGCTCATGCGCCTCCTCAATGGAACCGGTAAAGCTATGGACCACGCCGCCGCGCTCGAGCTTCTCCAAGCCGGGGCCGAACTTCTCCTGCAGAAGCCGGCGGAAGTCTTCGTGGGCGGCGCGCGAGTGCAAGAATAGGGGCAGCTGAGGCTTCGTGGCGAGGACGAGGTCCAGCTGGGCGGCAAAGGCATGTAGCTGAATGGCCTTGGAGGCATAGTGCAGGCGATCGTAGTCGAGCCCAAACTCGCCGAATGCGACGAGGCTGCCCGGCTGGGATGCGTGGGTGCGCTCAATGAGGGCAGCGAGATCGGCGATGATCGTCTCGGTCTTTTGAGCGTCCGGGTCGTGTGTGTCCGGCATGGGTGTTTCTGGGTCAGGGTTTGAATGCATGGCATCATGATTGGTATCGGCAGTACTGAAGATGGCGCTGCTGCAGGGATGGATACCGATGGTCGTGTATACATTGCCGGCTGGCAAGGAAGTCGTCAGTCAAGTGCCGTGCATATCTGGGAGCTGTGACGCCACGTACGATATTCTTTGGCTATCGCCAAAGCATCTCGGCAGCTCTGAAAGTCTGAACCCGTGACGATGAGCTTCGAGCACCCCACCTCGTTTGCTCGTGAAATGACAGCACCCAGATCGTCAGGGTGCCGTCTTGAGCCATGAGAAATGCCTCTGAATATGGGGTCGGCAAGGTTGATTCCAATCTACTGGGTATCAAGTGTCAGCCAACCAAGACCAGTTTTTGACTTTCTTATTTCTCGCAATCATAACTTCGTACATCAACATATCTTGGTTTGTACTCATTGTGAGAGGTGACTGATGGCGGGGTCGCCATTGTTGTTAGACGTGGTGGCAGAACCACGCGAGGTGCCAAATGCGATACAGTCGGCCTGAACCGAGCGAGAGGTGCTCGAGACCAAAACATATGCTGAGACTGAAGAGTCTCGATTCAATCAGCCCGAACACCAAGGTGTGAGATATAGCCGGGCGCCTGAGCGTAACGCATCGAGGTAAGTTGCGGGTGCGCCTAAATGCATCTCTTCGAAAACCCATTAAACACAGTCTGACTAATACACGTGATTGCGCGAAGTGCTTTACGCGCAAAGCGCGTTAAGTGCATGCATGCACAAAGTGCAAAGACGCGCCCTTGCACTACCACTTTAAAATGGCCGGGGGCGAAGGGGGGACCTGAGGAATGGATCTGTAAGCATGAGAATCAGGACAATCTATTCAGCGCCGCCAGACCAGTATGATCTAGACACAGCAAGGGATCAAAACACGAGGAGACATTAGTGAGCATCGGTTTCGGCTCGTAGGTATCGGGCAAAGCAAGGGCGGCGGGGCATCTGCCTGATGGTTGCCAAGGGTCAACAGTGGTAAGCCGCCTGTGCTCAAGCGTGTTTGACGCGCTAGAGGCCTAGCGACGCGTTTTCACTACGCGACGACCCGCAATGCCTATATCTTTCTCCCGTAGCAACCACTCTCCATCATTTTCCCTTCCTCCTACATACAACAAATCCTACCCTCAACCATCTTCAGCGACCATTTTCTGGCACTGAATTGCGACGAGACTCCTTTGGCATATACCCACTGGCCTTGAATAGAGTCTGAATCAATTCGTCGCCTCAAACCCGACGGTGCACTCCGTTGTCTCGCCATCCCGCCATCCCTCTACCCCCCCCTTTACACATCGCCCACCATGTTCGTGAGAAAGCGAGGTACGTGTCTGGCCCTCAATGCGTCTTCTCATGTATGCTCTGTACTGACTGCGATCAGATGGCCGCCAGGAGCGCGTCCAGTTCGACAAGATCACGGCTCGTGTGTCAAGGCTGTGCTACGGCCTTGACATGGACCACGTCGACCCGGTCGCCATCACTCAGAAGGTTATTTCTGGTGTCTACGGCGGTGTCACTACCGTTCAGCTTGATGATCTTGTATGTTGCCCCATCGTCCTGATACTGGATTGCGAAGAACCGTCCTAACCCGCGCTCCTAGGCTGCTGAGACTGCCGCGTACATGACCGTCACCCATCCCGACTATGCCATCCTCGCCGCCCGCATTGCGGTCTCAAACCTTCACAAACAGACCAAGAAGCAGTGGTCTTCTGTCGTCAGTGATTTGTATCACTACGTCAACCCCAAGAACAACCGTCCCTCTCCCATGATTGCACCAGAGACGTACGAGTTTGTCATGAAGCACAAGGAGGAGCTTGACTCTGCCATTGTCTACGACCGTGACTTCAACTACCAATACTTTGGCTTCAAGACCCTGGAGCGCTCCTATCTCCTCAAGCTCGACGGCAAGATCGCCGAGCGCCCGCAGCACATGATCATGCGTGTGTCCGTTGGTATCTGGGGAGACAACGTTGAGCGTGTCATTGAGACGTACAACCTCATGTCTAGCAAATTCTTCACACACGCCTCTCCTACCCTCTTCAACGCTGGCACGCCCCAGGCTCAGCTGTCGTCCTGCTTCCTGGTTGACATGAAGGATGACAGCATTGAAGGTATCTACGACACCCTCAAGACCTGTGCCATGATCTCCAAGATGGCTGGTGGCATTGGCCTGAACGTCCACCGCATCCGTGCCACTGGCTCTTACATTGCCGGCACCAATGGCACTTCAAACGGCATCACGCCCATGCTTCGCGTCTTCAACAACACGGCGCGCTACGTTGACCAGGGCGGCAACAAGCGTCCCGGCGCCTTTGCCATCTACCTTGAGCCATGGCACGCTGATGTCTTCGAGTTCCTCGACCTCCGCAAGAACCACGGCAAGGAGGAGGTTCGCGCTCGCGATCTTTTCCTTGCTCTGTGGATCCCCGATCTCTTCATGAAGCGTGTCGAGAAGAACGGCGACTGGACTCTTATGTGCCCCAACGAGTGCCCTGGCCTTGCCGACTGCTACGGTGATGAGTTCGAGGCCTTGTACGAGAAGTACGAGAAGGCTGGCAAGGGCCGCAAGACCATCAAGGCACAGAAGCTTTGGTACGCCGTCCTTGAGGCTCAGACCGAGACCGGCAACCCCTTCATGCTCTACAAGGATCACTGCAACCGCAAGAGCAACCAGAAGAACCTCGGTACCATTCGCAGCTCCAACTTGTGCACAGAGATTGTCGAGTACTCGGCCCCCGATGAGGTTGCCGTTTGCAATCTGGCCTCTCTGGCCCTGCCCGCCTACGTTGATTACAACAACGGCGTGTACGACTTCAAGAAGCTCCACCAGGTGACTCAGGTCGTCGTCAGGAACCTCAACAGGATCATCGACGTGAACCACTACCCCGTCATCGAGGCTCGCAACAGCAACATGCGCCATCGGCCCATTGGCCTTGGTGTCCAGGGCTTGGCTGATGCGTTCCTTGCTCTCCGCATGCCCTTTGAGTCGCCTGAGGCCAAGGAGCTCAACAAGCAGATCTTTGAGACCATCTACCACGCCGCCCTGACCATGTCATGCAAGCTCGCTCAGGAGGAAGGCCCTTACTCAACATACGAGGGCTCGCCCGTCTCCCAGGGTATCCTTCAATACGACATGTGGAACGTCAAGCCTACTGACCTTTGGGACTGGGCCGATCTCAAGAGCCAGATCAAGCAACACGGCGTGCGTAACAGTCTTCTCGTGGCGCCTATGCCCACGGCCAGTACCTCGCAGATCCTCGGCAACAACGAGTGCTTCGAGCCTTACACGTCCAACATCTACCAGCGCCGTGTGCTCGCTGGCGAGTTCCAGGTTGTCAACCCCTGGCTGCTCAAGGACCTTGTCGACATGGGTCTTTGGTCTGATAGCATGAAGAACCGCATCATTGCCGAAAATGGTTCCATCCAGAACATCCCCAACATTCCCGCGGACATCAAGTCCCTGTACAAGACTGTCTGGGAGATTTCTCAGCGCACCGTTGTGCAGATGGCTGCCGATCGTGGCGCCTTCATCGACCAGTCTCAGTCCTTGAACATTCACATGAAGGACCCTACCATGGGCAAGATCACGAGCATGCACTTCGCCGGCTGGAAGCTTGGCCTCAAGACCGGCATGTACTACCTGCGCACCCAGGCTGCTGCGGCCCCTATCCAATTCACCGTTGATAAGGAGGCGCTCAAGGTCGCCGATACCAACGTCGGCAAGGAGCGCAGCCTCAAGAAGCGGTCTCCCATGCCCAGCTACAACTCGTCGGCTGCGGCCGTTCCTAGGCCCATGTTCCAGAACAAGGATGGTTCGGCAGACAGCAACAGCCGCAACGGTGTTCCGACCCCCAGCACGACACCGCCTCCTGCCGCCGTCACGTCCCTCCCTATCGCCTCGCCTGCTAAGCCGGCGACGATGAAGGCGGATGTTGACGAGGGCGACAGCCCCAAGGTCCTGCCTATGGAGCCCGCCGACAAGATCAAGATTGAGGAGCTCTCTCAGGGCGAGAAGACTCCTGACGCGGAGGATAAGGATGAGGACAGCAAAGAGCGCGAGAACGACATTTACTCGGAAGCTGTGCTTGCTTGTAAGTCAAAATCTAATACGGGCCCCTTTCAACTTGACCATGACTAATGATCACTCGCAGGCAGCATTGAAAACCCTGAGTCTTGTGTGATGTGCAGCGGCTAAATGTTGGGTACATCATTGGTAATGTGTTGATGGTTGATGATGGATATTATGGCACTGGGTTTTGGGTACATTTGCAAGGACACACCGCGGCTTGCACGGCTCATGATGCTCGAGGCCTCTTGACGTGCACCTGAGCAGGATGCGCGGTCTATCTGTCGCGCCGGCTGATATGGTTTTGTACAGTGATTTTATGGTTTAGGGAGGTCCTGGTCCTTAGTTGGGGTCTGCATTTCAGGACAAGGTCATAATGCGTTGAACCTTGATAAGATAGCATGTGTGGTTTTCGTAATGCGATTGGCGTTGAGACAATATTGTGCCGTCCCTTCAATCTTGTCCGAAACAACGAGCCTTGCCCCTTTGACCGCATGTCCAATAATGGAGGGGGAGGCACGCAGCTCAAAAGGTTCTGTCTCACAAAGGAGCGCCACTTCTTCTTATCTAGTAGCCGTGGCTAGGTTGTGTGGTTGGTGTTGGAGGGTTGAGGCCTCCTCGCGGTCTAGGTCCTCGCGAAATTGGTGTTGCACCAGCTGGCGCCGGGGGACTCGCTCTCGGTTGGCGTGGCAAACCCGGGGTGCTGCCTCTGGCGGATGAAGGGGGGGGGGGGTTAGCTCGATGTTTAGTGTCCACCCGGCAAATTGATTCAGCTGGACCAGGATTTTGTTCTCAAGCAAACAAGGGTGGGGGAGCCAGGGTCGTTGGGGGATCGATTCGATCGCGCCAGGCCGTCAGGCACCCGGGGGGGGGGCTATCTACCGATTGCCAAATCTGCCCGCCATGCCAGTTATGGTCCCTCTTACCCGCCTCCCCGCACTAACCCAGCCGCCCCTAGATTCCATTGTCCAATTGATGGAGAGATGGGGTCGTTTTTGCGTGTTTGATTGTCCGGACGAGTGTTAAGCGCTGGCGGGGTGCACAGCAGATTGGTTTCCGTCGCACGTCGGCCATTGTGCCAGGCAGTTCGCTACCGGTCTGTCGAGACTTTTCGGTGTTGAAATGAAGGGGAGGATGTATGCACAGATTGAGCTCTCTCAGACGGCAACGGAGATCAAGCAGAGGGGACGATGCTATCTACACTAGGAGTCCAAAGGAGGGGGGTCCGATCGACGCATGCATGGGTCGGGTTTAGGTGCCATGCTGGTAAGGGTAGCCGCACTCTGAAGAGACAAGGCTTGAGTGAGATCTTCGGCTCCGGAAATTCTGCATTGGAAGAACGCGTCTCGGTCTTTCAATTCTTCACGTTTGGGACGTCGTATATTTCGGGGCTTGGGCAAGACGGATCGAATGACCCAACGAACTCTGCTTGCCACAGGACGCGCAAGCCGCAATGTGATCCAGGCTGGCTGCGGAGGGGTCATCATGTCTTGGGTTCGTGGGGTGGTTCGTTCGAATTGGCTTTCGCTGGGGCCGAAAGTGAAGGGAGGGGCAGCGGGCGCAGATGTTCAGCAGAACAAGCAAGCGTTCAGGGCTTCAGGCATGACCAGATGCATAGGTGCTGGCCTACCTGAGGTATCTGGGGTACCTTGCTACTGAGACGGCGCACTGCGGAGAGAGGCCGGGAACGGAAATTCGGGGTTCTAGGCCCATGATGCCTCATTGACGGAAACAAGCAGGCGCAGGTGGTTGATTCGGCGGGGACGTCAACAGGAAACAACAATCATGGTACCCAGCCCGGCTCGTCTTCTTCTCTTTCGTGGAGATAGACGAGCACCGCACAACAAGGCAGCACCAGCAGTAGAGAGAGGGAGCGAACAAAAAACGGACAAGCAGAAAACCATCAGACGAGAGTTGTTGAGCCAACCACAGCGCATGTGCCAATGACGTTGGACAAGTGCCTGCTCCACACGTCCGCTTGTCCCTGCCGAGACCAGACCTGGGTGCAAGGCCACAGGACTGGCCGTGTGGATAGCATGTCCAGTGGATCGACTTCTTCCCGCCAATTATATGCAGCCAAGAATCGGAGCAGGGATGCCAGCGGAGTGGACTGACCTCATTGACGCTGTATGAGTTGGACTTGCTTGACACGAATCGAACCTTGGAAGCTTTCTCCCATTGCCCTGTTCTGAGGGGGCCTGCAGAGCTGTCGAACCCAGCCATTCGTCTTTTTCGGAGTGACCCTACGTCCCCCGATGACAACAGCAAGCTTCCAGTCCGTTGTCCGGTGGTAATCGCTCAGGTTCCCTGGTTTTCGTCTGTCCCGTCGGCCGTTAACTACCCAAATCAAAGTTGGCTAATGTTTTCAAGCCGAGTATCGATGTCGTCATGGGAGGCCCTGTCTCCTCAGCTTGGTAGGTAGTTATCTTTCCTCGGGGAAGCTCTCGGTGCTGAGGCAAGCGTTATGTGGGAGAATTCGGGCACACCGACAGACATTGCCACGAAGTTGTCGACTGTCCTGCTGAATTAGGAAGATGGCGTAGCGTAACGGGACTCATCGCAGGTCCACAGCACGCTTTGGGCTGAGGAAAGCGAGGCGAAGCTGCCAACCTAGTGTGATGTGCTGTCGACTTGCATGAAGACTTCAGCGCGCTGCGTGCTCGGGCCTGGCCCGACGGGGGCGTGGGTTGCGCTCAAGCTCGGAATGACGGCGCAGCCAGATGTCCTACCCTACCTACCTCTGATCCCATGGTAGGAAGCAGACAGCAGGCGCAGCGGATCCGGGCCGGGGGCGGTCGGTAGGTCGGTAGGTCCACAGGTAAGTAGATGCCTTACGTCGAGGGCAAATAGCTGCGGCGGTTAGACATTGGGATGCTAGTGCTGGGGCTTGGATGTCTGTGTCTTACGAGTTGGGGACTTGAGGTCATATCCCTCCCGATCCCGGCTTTAGTGCAGTGCAATGAGGTCGAAACCGGGGCTGGCGCATCTCTAGGGCCAGCCAGGGCAGGGGCCGGTGGGTAAACAGAGAGGCAAGGGCAGGCACACCCCGGCAGTGGCTCTTTCCTGTTTTGTCGGTGGCTTGACATTCGGGTAGGTTCACCGCACATCCTAGCATCGTGCTTTCCTCCAGCTTTGCTAGAGGCCTGCCAGCTTCCAGCTTTGGTCTTGCTGTGAGGTAGCCTTCTCAGCACAGAGCTTCTCATCTCTTCTCCACACGTCGTCCTTGGTCTTTAAAGCTTTGGTACGCCTGCCCCAACGACCATCCGTTTGGTCTCCCTTTCGTCCTTCATCATCCAAGCCTTGCGTCTGATATCTTTCGAGCCCTCCATTCCTCCTCCTCTCGTCAACGTCACGGAAAGACAAACGACATTCTCCACCGCACCAGCACATCCTTCGGTACGTACGTACAACGACGCGTCGCGTCTCTCATGTTCCTTGGGCAAAGCTTCTATTCTTCCATCCGGCACCAGGGCTCCTCCACGCGCCATCCCTTTCCCTCCTCATATACTAGGCTTTCCTACGTTGCCCGGATCCCGGCTTGCGAGCCACCTCACTGTCCTTCTCATTGGTGTCACGTCTCATAAGTTTTGACACGACTGACACCCAATCACCGTTCACAGGCCTGCCAAGCCTTAGCGACTTTCCGTTACCCTCTCACAACACCATCATCACTACACTGTGGGTAAGTGCTTCAGTTTGATACGCTATGTGTGGTCTGCTTCACTCGCCCTCTGCCATTCTGGAGTCGAGGCAAGACGTAGGCTTCTCCCTACTGCCCTAGCACACACCAGATCAGCGGCAAGAATGGCATGAGCTGTCCAAGATCAACTTGGCCTTGCAACAGTTGACCCTGCCGTGTGTGCTCATTCGACGTGGCTGGCACGATCCTTCCCCAGCTCAACCCCTCTCCCCACCCCCTTTTCCATTGCTACTGCCGTCACACGGTGTAACTACACAAGGGCCGGCTCCCACGCGTGAAGTTGCACCTTCATTTCCCCTGCCACCCCCTTCTTCACTCCTCATAACCCCATCACACGTCTCATACCGCCTCTATCTTCTTGCTGTTTCTCTCCCCAAACACTCACACAAGTTTGCTCATCTGCCTTGACCCCGACACTCGTTTCTCTTACAAGTCTCAAATCAGGTACCTGGATGCAGTTGATCGCTTGACACAGTCACGAGTGTTTAGTTCACCCCTCATCAATCGTGTGGTGCACATTAGCAGCCGGGAACGGGATATTTGAAACTTTGCTAACATCAGCTATTCAGGTCTTGCTCCTTGCACCGAATACCATCACGAGCATTAACTCATCTTGTCTCGATCTGTAGTCAGAAAGCACCAACGTCATCAAAATGAAGAACACCGCCATTCTCAGCGCTGCTGCCCTCCTCGTCCTCAGGGGTGTCCAGGCCCAGGACCTTCCCGCGTGCGGCGTAAGCATCCATCAAGCTCGTCACGAGCTCGACTACGGCTGACACGCAGTGAAATAGCAAACGTGCGTCAATAACATGCTCGGACTTGCGGCTGACTCGGATGTGGTGACGTCCAAGGATCCGAGCGGGAAGCCTGCCTGTGCCGTAACCCCAACTTTCTGTACGTATCAACGACTGCTCTACTGCCGTCTGCCGCC